CTCTCATTTTTTTTTTCAATCCACGTGTGGAATGAATAGTTTTCATGCGCGGCTGGAATAATGAAGTGCGCGGCACTCTTCATTGGTTATTGTGCGGCCGCGCAATTTAGAGGGAACACTTCATATGTATTGACAGAATATTTCATTAAATATTAACCTTTGATCGGGTTTTTAAGTTTTTAAAAAATGGTTGCAAGTCGTAATTGCGAGAAAAAATAATTAAAAGCCATCTTTGATGCTTTTCTTTCCTATTGGATAACGAGAAGGAAAGAGGATTTAAAAAAAACAACAACAACTAATGTATAATTGGCTGACCTATAACGTGATATACATTACATCATATAATACAATACTTACACGCGACTCGTACCAGTCTAGAATATTGTATGTTTTAAAGATTAACTAAAAAATGTTTCTACAGAATTATCCCCCGAGATGGCGAACACACCCAAGAGCACGAACTGATATGCCCACAGATGTGTCTGACGGATGTTTCGTTAAGCTTGTTGTGCTGAATTAGATTTACTCTGATTACGAACGGTATCACACGGTTAGGTTGAGAACAGAAAAAAAAAAAAATCACTACTATACTCTCGACCCCAACTGACACGAAGTATTCCACTGTTTGGAGTGATATAGAAAACAATGTATAGAGGGAGACAAAAGGAGAAAATATTGTAATGTATACCAACTGCTGTTCGATATCTACAGCTTGGTATTAATATCTTTCACGGTTCTGATGTGATTGTTCTAATATGTAGTTACCCCCCCCCCCCTCATTGTTCTATTTTTTTACACGAGTTTTATTGTTAAGTGATGTTCGTTTTAATATTTTTTTTTACTTATTGCGTATATTTAATGCTTTCATTCGGTACCACTATGCGTTTTAACTTTCCATTATTTGTGTTCTGTTGTTTCATTGGTTTACTGTATGTATTAATGATTAGTATAATGTGTTCCGGTGCCTCATTGGTTTACAATATGTCTTAATGATTAATATAATAATGATAATGCAATGTGTTCTGGCACCACATTGGTTTACTTTAAAGATTAAGATACTGGTTCTGACGTATTATTGGTTTATCAAATGCGTCTTTAATAGTTAGGATACTCTGTTCACGCGTATCATTGGTGAGTGATTTTAATTTTAAAGTTATCTTGATTCTTTGAGTATGTATTTAATGATTGATTTATAATGCCCATGTAATCTCGCTTCAAGATACATTTTTGTTCCTAAACTTCTGTTCAGGTTTGTTCATCTGACAGTTATGGTTCATTGCGGTGGGTTATAATTCCAGTAATTGTTTAATAGTTGTGATTCTTTGATTCAGGCATCTTCGTCTTGATTAGTGTATATATGCTGGTTGTGATTCTTTGATTCAGACATCTTCGTCTTGATTAATGTATATGCTGGTTGTGATTCTTTGATTCAGACATCTTCGTCTTGATTAATGTATATATGCTGGTTGTGATTCTTTGATTCAGACATCTTCGTCTTGATTAATGTATATGCTGGTTGTAATTATTTGATTCGGACATCTTCGTCTTGATTGATGTATATGCTGGTTGTGATTCTTTGATTCGGGCATGTTCGTCGTGATTAATATATATGTTGGTTGTGATTTTTTTGATTCGGATATCTTCGTCTTGATTAATGTACATATATGCGGGTTGTTACTTTTTGGTTCAGGCATCTTCGTCTTGATTAATGTACATATATGCGGGTTGTTATTTTTTTATTCGGGCATCTTCGTCTTGATTAATGTATATGCTGGTTGTGATTCTTTACACATCTTGTCCAGTTGTGTCCATTCTGATAATATGCGGGTTGTTATTTTTTTTATTCGGGCATCTCCGTCTTGATTAATGTATATGCTGGTTGTGATTCTTTACACATCTTGTCCATTCTGATAATCATGGTTTATACATCTGAACACGACAGTAAGTTTAGTCATCAAACATAGTGCTAGAATAATTACAGCCAGTTTGGCAAGCTTATAAAAGTGACAAGGATTATCATGAGCTAATTAATAGCAAACAATATTGTAAGCTATTTTTAATGTTGTAATTCGTTCGCTATAGGGAACTATGGATCGTAACGTTTAATAAAATAGGCCTAGAACACCTAGAAAGTTCTGAATATTTGACGTCAAGTTTTCTAGTATATTCGAGGATAGGTTATAAATACGAGGTTCGGCGAGGTGTTTCGAGATAATAGAGTTGTTTCTAAGCCTGTATAGTGAATCGGAGTATATTTTCGTTTCAGCCAGAGTTTGTTTTCAGTGAAATATTTGGATATGTGTTAGCTATCGCACGTATTGAGATGCGTGATCGATCAGTCGTGAAGTACAAGTAAGTTTATTTTTTACGTCAGTGTAGTGCAGTTAGCATCGTTTGAAAGCTTGCAAATTACCACAATGTTTACGCTTGGAGAAATGTTAAAGGAGGAAATAAACATGTTTGTTAAGTACAAGTAAGTTTATTTTTTACGTCAGTGTAGTGCAGTTAGCATTATTTGAAAGCTTACAAATTACCACAATGTTTAAGCTTGCAGAAATGTTAAAGGAGGAAATAAACATGTTTGTTAACGTTAGATTGACCGGGCGCTCAAATATTTTTACCACAAGTAGATTTCGCATTTTGTAGCTATTCACCAGTAATACTCCACCAGTTTTTGAAAAGGTTTTTTCTGCAATTTCTGAACATTTTGATAAAAGAGTAAACGAACTTGTAAAATACTGGATGAAAGTCCCTACACACAACTGTGAGCATGAATGAAGACAGACAGACGTGATCAGTCATTATACCCATGGCTGTTGCTCAAAAGTCCGAAGAAGCAAAATAAAATAAATCGGAATGTTGATAATTGGTTTGTTTTTGAATTTCGCGCAAAGCTACACGAGGGCTGTTTGCGCTAGCCGTCCCTAATTTAGCAGTATAAGACTAGAGGGAAGGCAGCTAGTCATCACCACCCACCGCCAACTCTTGGGCTACTCTTTTACCAACGAATAGTGGGATCGATCGTCACATTATAACACCCCAACGGCTGAAAGAGCGAGCATGTTTGGTGGGACGGGGATTCGAACCCGCGACCCGCAGATTGCGAGTCAAGCTCCCTAACCACCTGGCCATGCCGGGCCATAATGTTAATAATAAGGATATAAGTAGCATCATGTCTACTTCAGCCAACCTCAGAGGAAGTAGCATAGGCTACATTACGTCATTCTGAGCTGTGCGATAATTTTTTCTATCCCGTTAAAAAATAAAACTATTTGCGATTTTCAGAGGCTCAAAACATTGAGTACGCGTTTAAAAAGACTTAGAGATTAATGACAAAAAATGAAAATCGGGACGTTTCGGCGTCCCAAAAAAAGATCTGTAGTAAAGTCTGTTCACCGTAGTATTAATATATCGTGTTGTTCTTTACAAATATTTCATAATTTTAAAGTTTCATAATCCTTATAGAGAATTATCTCGTAACTTCCTCTTGTTTTGTTTTTGTTCTTCATTTTTCCATCAGTTTACTACAGTTTAAAATATTGTAAAATAGCCAGAATACGTTAAGCCTATTTCTCAAAGTCAGAAACTAGACCATTCTCAGTCTTACTGAACTCGGCTTAACAGTTAATCGATCGTTCATTGATGTTCGTAATAACTTGTTTAATTTTTATTATTTTTTTTTTTTACGAAAGAAACAATCAACGTTTACTAACAGAAACTTCCAGCGATCTAAAGAAAACCTATGAACGTGTATATATATACAAGTCGTAGTTATCACATTCGGCTGGAGCTCGCTCAATTTGTACGATGTGGCTGCACGTGCGCTGACGGAAAATTTTCCGAGTTCACGAACGGGTTTGTAAACGGCTGGTGAAGTGTTTCTTGCTTTTTTTTCCCCCAAACGATAAAGACTACATTGCCATGACGACCAAGGTAATGCACGCGTGTTCCTAACAGTAAGCCGTCAAAACCTCCCCATAAAAGCATAAGTGTTTGAACAGAAGAAGACTATGCCATGGTTAACACCGTATGGCTGAGGCAAAAACCTAATCTTGTTGTGCGTTCATATCCCAGTCTTATTGTTCATCCAGTTTAAAAACGTCACAAAGACCTGGTGATCCGATCAACCACATTACAATTTACAGTGTGACCGCACAGAAAAGAAAAAAAAAGGGGGGGTGTACTTTTTAGAACAAATGAGGGTATAGAGGGGAAGCAAAATGCGTTAATGTAGCTCATAAAATACATTCACTAGGTGGCAGCACTGCAGCATATGTTTACTGTGGCCAACATATAGCAGAGAAGATATGTATGTTGTACTATATAAAGTTGTATTGTAAAATTCAATGGTCTTTGACATAAAAAAAAAGTGTTCGTTTCTTCCAATTATTATACAATACTGTGAATAGCGTATGGAAAAACACCATTTTATAACACACATGACTAACATTAAGACGTTAGACGCTTTGTATGTGAGCGTGGGACCAGCTCAGGATATGATGATTAACGCTGAATAGACATTAAAAAAAAAACTAATGTTTTCTTTCAAAACAAAGCTAAAGTTGATTCTATGAATTATTCATTTTTTGTAAGCTGGATAAAGTGTGGCACAGAGTACAACATCCACACACCCCCTTTAATAAATATATTTTCGTGCCCGCCCTCTACATTTTTTTTTTGTTAATGAGTGAAAGAAACACTTAAGTAATAAGATGTAATACACGTTTAAAATGTTATATTAAAATGCTTAATTTTGCATTATTGACTCTACCCTAACCACTCGTCGAGTATCTATCTAACTGGGCGAAATAATTTAATTTTACCGTTGTCAAAGACAAGTATTTAAACACGACATAGGCCTACTTATCGTTGTCATGGTTAGTATCGCATACGATCGCTCACGTCAAATTATTAATCACAAAGTAGATATTAATTAATTACTAATGAATTCTTACCCCATGTTTCGACTGTTGATAAGAATTATTTTTCTGTGTTTGTAGTGGGCAGGATTCGAACCTTGGACCTTTTTGATGGAAGCTGCGTGAGTTGTTCACTTCACTGGGAATCTCCCATCAATAGGATAAAATCACGTTAGTAATTAGAACCTAATAAATAAAATATTTATTACTAATTAATAATTACACTTGGGTAAATTGTATTGTGCGTGTAATGTGTTTATTTAAATAATTTGTGAATAATATACTTAGTTTTTTACTTTATTGTATTCTTGGTAACTACAAACGCACGTCTTCCATTTTCTGTTACGTGTGAGAAAATCCTTTACACTGATCTGAAGGAATTATTCAGATACTTGACAATACATACATGCGTAATATAAAAAATCACAATAAGCTTAAAAAGTAAAACAATATAAAAATTAGATGAA